ATAGGAAGGATTTTGCACTTAGAACAAAAGAAGACCACTCGAGCAAAAGCTCAAGTGATGGTGAACTTGAACTTCTTACAATAAATATTAAAAAGTTTTTAAAACAAGAATCGAAAATTAAAAGTAAACATAAAAAGAATGCAATTACTTGCTATGAACACAAAAAGAAGAAAGCACTTTGGGACGAAACGAGTACCTCCAAAGACGAGGAGCAAACCAACGAAGGCAAAGTGGTGAACTACGCTTTGATGACTTTCGTCAATGAGGTAAACAACTCAAACGAAACCCCTTTACTTTATTTCGAAATTACATAATACTTTTCATGAGTTATTTTTTTAATAAAAAAATTAGGATCATGCTAGTAATTTTGAAATTAATAATTGTATCTTTTATAAAAATATAATAAAATATTAATTCTATGCATGTTTTAAGAAGCAATAATGATTTTCATATTGCCTTTCGATTATAAATGATGATACATAGTTTTTGTATGGAAAACGAAGCATGAAAAGTTAGATTCACCTAAAAAGAAAAATGCATAACTACAACAAACAAAATGATTTTGATGAAAAATGCTTTATAGTTAATGAAATCATGCTTGATGTTTTAATGATGTAATGAAGTAATAATGTGTATCTTGATGATTTCCATATTATTTTTTGATTTTGATTGAAAATGTTTTTTGTTCAACAAAACCATGCTTGATGATTTGAAATCATACTTAATGAGTTTATAGTTTGAAAATGTGCATGTTATACCTTGAAAACTTGAAACCATATTTTGGTATCATGTATACCCAAGTAATGATGTTTTAAAATTTTTTACGGTTTTGGTATTATGCCCAAAGTAATGATGCATAATGATCATACTTAATGAGTTTATCCTTCGAAATTATGCATGATAATTCTTATGATTTATGGATTATCGATCTTTACCGTAATGAAAGTTTTTTTTCATTTTAAACGTTAATGCATGTTTTTATTTGGTATAAATAAAAAAGGCATGCTTCTATGAAATAAATCACATGAATTGAAACAACTAAAAATAGGAAAATATTTATATTAAAAATTTCCTTTTCTCTATCTTATCAATTTTTCACTAAGAGATTGATAAAGTTATTTATATCATTTTGAATCTCTTGAAAGTGATTTTGATGATTTGTTGATTTGAATTTAGATGAGTTTTATCTAACCATGATGTTTATCTTGATTTCTCAACATTTATAACTTGAGATTTACCCTATATGAATCGAGATCTTTTATCCTTGATATTTCTTTTTGCTATCTACTATCTAAATGAATCATGATTTTTTGGAATTATAATTTTTATGATTCATATTGAATTAAGAGATATTATACATGAATCGAGATCCTTTATGTGTTCTCTCATAACACCTTTTGTTGTAGGAATGTCTTTATCGATATCATCATCTTGAATTCTCGATATTGATACTTGAAATTTTTCTATGAATCAAGATCTTATTTTTGAACTCTCATGTTTCTTTTTTGTTATTTACTAAAAGGGAGATTTGTCAAGATAAATCATGTCATTTAGTATTCATGGCTTAATCCTTCATGATCTTTGATATTTTATCTTTGATAATATAATTTTTATGTATATATCCTTAGATTCATGAAGTGTTTATCTCATCACCCAACTAAATTTTCTTGATATTCATCATGAGATGATATGAAATTATGCATGAAATACTCATGATATTATGTTGATGCATACAAATGAGAAGTTATGATCATGCATAGTAGGATGTAATGTAATTTGATATTTTGATACCATCATGATTTGGAATGATACATACAATACTATGATTTTTTTAATGAAATGATGTGAAAGTCAACAATTATCATTTTTTGAAATGATACCATATTGCAATTAAGAATGATACTTTATATTTATCATAATTTAGAAATTGATGTAAAGGGAAAAAATTATAAAATTATATTCTTTCCTTCTTTTTGATAATGACAAAGGGGGAGAAAAGTTGCTAGTTTGCACATCATAAAGAAGCAAAAAGCTTGCTAATCTCAAAAGATATAAAACTTTGCCAACTTTCATATGTGTAAAATTGCTAGCTTACATATTCTAAAATAATATATTGCTATCTTGCATTCTTTTTTAAAAACTTGCTAACCTTCATACTTTATAGAGAAGTAACACTTGAGAAATTTGCTACCTGTATATTATAAAACTTGCATGATGATAAAATTAGAGATTATGCAATGATTTGAACTTGTATGTCTAAACACTTCTCCTTTTTGTTGAAATTGGAGATTATTCATAATTGAACTTCTCCTTTTTGTTGATGACAAAGGGGGAGAAGTATGATGTTATGCATGATTTTATCATGATATATTGTTTGAATTTTTGAATCTAAGAGTTCTATCAATATGACATATTGATAAGGGGAGTTAAAAATTAACTTCGTCATCAATTGGTTGTCATCAATAAAAAGGGGGAGATTATTAAATCTTAGATTTTGATGATGAAACTAATTGATAGTGTTCATGATTTGATCTGCATTTTGAGTGAAGCTGGATGCTTCGATCAGGGAGAGACAATTAAAGCAAGAAGAATCATGTTGGGCCGGAGAAAAATATGTTAGGAGATTAAACATCGAGCCGTCGAGCCGAAGGATCGGTCGACGTATCGATAGAAGGCTTTCGGGCCATGATTTCGGGCATCGGGCCAAGAAGAGCGGATATTGCGCCAAGGAAATCGAAGTTGCGAAGGTCAACTAGCCGATTGGGTAATAGGCCGCAAAAGAGGACGATGCGCCGAAGAAACGGACGAATCGTCGATGAACCAATGACATGCCGGACAACATTTGATTAGCTTAGTAATAATTATCTAGATCGAAGTAGGTTTTAACTATGCAGGATTAACTATGATAGCAAGTTATAAAGCAAAATGAAGTCTCGAAGTCAAGGACGTGATTTCGTTGGCAGTTCAAGTGTACGTTAGAAGTTCTGCCAAAATTAATCGAGAAGTCCAGGAGCTTGCCAAAGAAGCTCGTAGAAACTCACCAAGAAGATCCTCGTGAAATCCAGGAGCTTGCAGGGAGTCCGTTGGAACATTGCCGAGAGATCGTCGGAAGTTCGCCGGAAGAAACCTAGACTTACGGACTTGTTTAGCTTAGTAAATGTCTTAAATTTCGTAGTTAGCATATAATTAGGATTGGAATTGGGCTAACCCAATTAGGAGCTAGTTAGGCCAATGTATGGACTATATTGGGCCAAGTGAAAGGCCCAAACAGTGACCCAACATATGGCACCATCGTGGCACAATGTCCGAGACTATGTGAGGCGGTGGAACCGTCAGACTGGGTGATGGTACCGCCTAGTGTCAGTGTCAGGCGGTGGTACCGCCCAGACACAGTCTCCTAGGCGGTGGTATCGCCCAATGTTAGTGTTGTAGGCGGTGGTACCGCCAGGACCTAGGAAACCCAGGATGAGAGCTTTTTAGGCTTCAAGTTTGAATTAACTTGAGGCCTATAAATACCCCTCTCATCCCTGGTTAAAACACACAAGCACATAGAGCTTAAAAGTGGGAAAACACTATAGAAATCACTTGAGAGAATCCCTCCTTTAATTCGAAGTTTAGAATTCTGTTTAGGGAGGAGTGAGTGCTCGTAAAAGGTTCACTCCTAAACCTGTAAAAAGGAGAAGTGGGAAAACACTATTAAAAGGTTTCTCCTCTTAATGATAAGTAAATTAGAATAGTCCAACTCTTCCTTACCTTCACTTTTGGCTTCTCCTACCTCTGCCTCTCTGCCTTTGTTCGTCGTTATGGCCCCCAACGCTTTCTCTTCCTCGATAAGATGGACTTTTTTAAAAAATTAAATTACATGTGTTATTATATTAATGATTTATTATGAGTCAACATGCCACATAAGAAACATGCCAACATGCCATGTAAGCAGATTTTTTAACTTAAATTATATAAATATAATATTATATAAAATATTTTATTATGAGTCAACATGCCATGTAGGCAGATTCTAACATCTGTTAACTCAGACTTGACGGGAGGAGCTTATATGCTACGTTTTTTAAAATGTAGGAGTTAATTTAGACACGAGTAAATTATAAGGGCTTAAGCGGTCCATGATTAAAATCAGGAGCTAAAATGAATCTTAATTGTGAGTTTTGAATGTAGATAAATATTATATACTTTTATTAAAATAATAAAAGTCAATTGAATTTATCTCCATAACATTGGAATGTTTGTGAAAAGAATTATATTTTCTAAAAGTTTTTAATTATGCTACTTATATTTTATCTAGTGTTTATTATTCCACTACTCATTTATTTTTGATTAAATGTATTAATAGTATGGTGCGTTAGAAGAATATGAAAATGGTAATGAGTTGAATATGAATAATAACAAAGATTTATTTGTTGATGCATCTATCGATGTAAATTACTTAATTTATGTCATTAGGTGTCTAGAAATACATCTGATGATTTTTTAATAAAAATATAAATATTTTTATTATTATAGATTATTTTTAATAAAAATAAAAGAAATAAAAAAAATTAGAATAGATAGTTTTGATATGTAACCAAAACTAGAATTGGAACCACAAATTCGAAAATCGTCTGGATTCGACTTGGTTCCGATTATAAAGATATGGTTCTAAGATTAGGATTACCTCTAAGTCACTATAAAAAAATAAATAGAAATAAATAAATATAGGATGAATTAACGAGAAAAACCTCTCATTTTATTTTATTTTTTCGATTGACACCCTTTTTTTTTTGTTTTCCTTATCCCGAGAAAACGTGGACATATAAAATAAAATCTCGCCCTTTGTATTAGATCACTATAAAAACTATAACAATTTATTGATTTATTTCTGTATTAATTACGGTATTTTTTTAGTATGATTATAATATTTTTGGTCCTTCACGAAAATTACTATAATTGGACACCTTTTCGATGAAACGAAACCGGACGGTATATATATAAACGACTAAACCCCTACTCGCAAGCAACACAAATTCACTTCCCCTCTTAGCCTCAGCGGCGGAGCTAAGAAACAATGCCGCTTTCTCTCTCGTCCTCACCCACTGCCGCCGCTACTACTGCCGCCGGCGGAGCCGCTCACCGCTTCCTCTATCCTCACCGGCCGTGCCTCCACCGCGCTGGAAAAGTGAGTCTCTCTCTTCTCCTCTGTCCTTTCTCTCGCCCTGCTTTGTTTAGGGCCACCAAGGAAATATACCACCTTTGTGATGCTTGGTCTTGTGCCTTGGCAACAGAATTTCGTACTTCTCTCGTTTGTTCCCTGTCGGGCTTCTTCCGTAGCTCGCGGTCTGATCAGGGGCATGGCAGATGTGGAAACGCAGAAGGCTGCATCTCCTTCTATATTGGCTGGTATTATCTGCCCTTCGTGCCTCTTTTTCGTTTTCTGTTGGGCAAAAGATTGAACTTTTGAAGTTTTTCGGTTCTTTTGGGGTGAAAGGTTGTAGTGTTTGTGGTTTTCATTTAGCCGCTTGATATTTCGTTTCTCCGCCTCTCAAAAATTTTGTGCTAAAAATTTGAATTTAAGTTAATCAGGGAAAATCATATTACTTCTTTTTCCTTTTCTGTATGTAATCGGCCTTTTTAGCCTCTTTATTATTTGGATTTATGTGCATTTCAAAACTGTATTGAGTAACTTGTATTTCGTTCTTGTTTCACATTCTTCCACATGGTTACCCTCTCTTCGGTGGAAATTGAAAGGAATTACTCCATGTCTACATGTGACTAAGCTACAATGGAGAAGATGTTACTTTCTACCTACAATTGGCCACCTTTTTTGCCAAGTTTGTTGTTGGCCTACTTGCTTTTCTAAACCATCCTTTGGAAGTTTACATCTTCTGATGGTCAATTATACAATTTTGTCAAATGTTCCTTGAGTCTTCTTGATTTTGAATTGTGATCCATAGCTTGTGCCATGTTGATGGGAAAAAGTATTGGAAAAGTGATGAATATTTTCATCAGTACTTTAAAAATAAGGTTTTTGCTGATGACTAACCATAGAAAAACTGATTACTCTTTCTCTTTATTCACAGGATCAAGCAAATTCTTTTGACTGAATATTCATTAATCTTGTAAATAGAACTTTGTTTCCTCAAATTTTGGATCTTTGATATTATTTTTGATGAAGCTTTGCGTGGATTGGATATTTTTCTTGCCTGCAATTAGGTCAATTGAAACTTATGTTTGCTATCATTTCTCACAGGAAAGTTAAATAATTGTGAGCTATCCGTATTCAACTAACAACTCATTATAATTTTTTTCATTTTTAGTGATGATGATTGTCAATTCCTTTATCTCTTTGTCTATTTGTTTTCGAGGATAAGTTCTAAATGTTGCTTTTGTGCCTGTTAACTACTGGTTGCTGGTTGTATCTTCACATGATGTGTGTGCTTTTACATTGGCACAATATGTAGCATGCAACTGGGCATGGTAATGTGCTATGGTATGACTAGCACTATACTGGTTTGGTACTGGCATGATAATGTGCTGCAGCAAAGGCAGCACTTTAATGCATTCTTTCTTGAAGATTCCAGATGTTAATTGGTTGCTGCCTTGTATATGGTGCTGTATAGATGATACTTAAATCCAGACTCAATTTTTGGTGCAATGAAGTAATAAGTTAAATTATATATATAGTTGAGTGATCTTTTTCTGGCTCTGGTGCTAATGTTTATAGATCTTTTATTAGTAGGGCATAAGCAAGCATTGATATCATTGTCGGATAAGCGAGACTTATCTCTTCTTGGAGATGGACTCCAAGGCTTAGGGTAAGCTTCAGCATGTGTGAACTTTAATATTTGTATTGGCTATTAAAATTTTATCTTGGAATATCTAATCTCTATTGTTCCTCCCAGCTGTATGTTTAGTTTAACATTTAAGGTTCTTTTATTCACAGTAGGTAGTCTATTTCCTTGCTTTCTGAAAGAGAAATATGTATCAGAACAATGAACATCTTTGATGCAAAAATTGCATATGTATAGTTCTGCTCTAATTGAATTATCTTCAAAGGATTCTGGTGCAACTCTCATGAATTTTCTTTATGATAGATGAGCAAATTCGATACTGAACAAAGCATCCACACTTTCCCCATGCAAAATATGTAGACTTTCTAAAGTGTGGAAAGCTGGCAGAGTGATGAACAATTAGTTGTACTGTCTCTACAAGTGATTAAATATCTTCAAGTTCCTTGACTCACCACAGTGTTCATTCTGTAGATAATCAAGTTGTTCTGTGTATATGACAATCAAGTTCTTGAACAGTTCTCGACTGCTGTGGATTTGTTTAATGGGCGTTCACTTGTTGTCCTTGATATAAATCTCAAGTTGTTTTCTTCTTTCTTTTTCTTCTCTCTTGGTGGACTCTTTACTTTGGCAGCACACTTTCATGCGCATCTCATTATTGTAATTCTTAAAATGCATATCTTAGCAATGGAATGGTCTGGCTTTGTTTTTTTTCTTTTGCCTCTAGTCTTCCCTAGCTTCATGCAAATACTTTTTTATAGGTATTCTATTGTTTCGACCGGCGGAACAGCATTTGCTTTAGAAGAAGCTGGTGTCTCTGTAACTAAAGTTGAAGAGATCACCCATTTTCCAGAAATGGTAAACTTTATTATGTTATTATCCTTGACCACTTGTACTAAATATCTAGATTAACATAAATAATAACTTTATTATGTAGTTTCAGTTTATTTGAATTATATGAATTTGTCTTCTAGTAACCTCTATGTTAGGATCGGAGCGGCACTAAGGGGGGGGGGGGGTGGAATTAGTGCAGCGGATTAAGACGTTGATTTCGACAAATCTTTCGTACGATAAAAATCAGAATCGGAAGTGATTAACTTGAAAGCGTATTCGCAAAGTTGAGCAGCAAAGATAATGATGAAACAAAGCAAGTAAGAAGGTTTGCAGTAATGTAAATGATAATAAGAAATGCAAACCAGAGATTACGCCGTTTTTAAAGTGGTTCGGTCAAGTGACCTACATCCACTTGCGAGGCCTCTCTTCGATGAGGCTCCCACTTTCCACTAGCAAATCTCTTGAAAGTGAAGGGTGAATACCCCTCTTACAACTTTTACAAGCGGTTCACTCTCTTACAGATTTTCAATAAGAAAGGAGGAGGAGAACTCTCTAGCAAATTGAAAACAAGACAAGCTAACACTTTTCTAAGGCCTTTCTCTCAAACACTTGCTGCTCAAAAAGTTGTCACCTCAGCTGAGATTTGAGGGGTATTTAAAGGCCTCAAGAGGATTCAAATTTGGGCTCCAAAATTTGAATTCTCTTAGGGTTCCCGGTGTTGGAGGTGCCACCGCCCAGCCAGGCGATGCCACCGCCCAGCGCTCGGGTGCTGGACGGTGAAACCGCCCAGCTAAGAGGTGTCACCGCCCAGCTCTCGGGTGCTGGGCGGTGCCACCGCCAGTCTAGGCGGTGCCACCGCCTAGGCCAAATCAGCTCACTGGTTGAGCTCCAAACTTGGCCCAAATCAGTCCGAACTCTGGCCCAATTAGCCCCTACTTGGGTTATAAGATTAACACCTAATCCTAACTCTAATTAACATGATAACTACGAATTTAAAGACATTTTATAAGCTATTACAAAGTCCGTAAGTCAAGACTTCTTCCAGCGAGCTTTCGGCGAACTTCCGACGGTCTTTCGATAAACTCTCGGAAACCATTCTGCGGACT